CCTTTCCTTTTCCTGGAACATACTTTTGTTATGATTGTGTATAGTTTTTGCATTAGGCTTAAAACCTTTAGACTAAAAGGAGAATTGTAGTGGCATCTTTCCTTGGCAGTGTATTTGTGTTAGTGGTCCCGACCCTTTGGGTGTGGCCAGAGCCAGAAAGCTGGAAGTGTGGGGCAGTCTCTGGCTCCATCTCTCTTGGGTCTGGGATCCAATCGGAAGGGCGGAGAATGGCTGTGGTTTTATTATCTGTGTAAGTTGTTACCCGATAAAACACCCATTTATCTTTTATCTTGGATCTAGCGAACTCATCACAACTACGCTTTCAGCAGAGTTAGTGCAAAGGCCTTACCAGGGCATGGGGAGAGTGGAACTGTGAAGGCCACACCAGAGTGCGGACCTGAGAGAGGCAGACAAGAGGAAGAGGAGAATCAGGGGAGGAAATTAGAGACAAAGGAGTAAATGACAAGAGCTCCGTCTGGCGGGCGCTTTCAAAGGGTGCACACAGCCGATGGCAGAAAGGGACCTGGCAACATTAACGGCTTTGATGGCAGTGGCAGGTTGTTGCTTTGGAAACCAATATTGGAATTCTTTAACGAAAGAAGCAGAGTTAGAAAGAGGAGTGAGAAGGCTTGGAGTGAAGATCAAGGTTGAAAATAGAGTAGCCCTTTCCATCTATCGGCTCACCGGCAGAATGTTGCAAAGGTCCCATCAAATATTGGGATTCAGGGTGCTGGGGAGTGACCATTTGGATTGATATCTAAGGGGTATTTAGGCCAGATCTGACTGCAAAGGCACACGAGGTTAGAAGCCCTTGGAGGTATAGTGGAAGGCATGGATCCCACGAGTGAGGTAGAGAGATGAGGTCCAATGGTCTGCAATTCCTAGGAACTCAGAAAGCATCGGCTTTGTGGAGGCACAGGCTGCTCATTGATGTCAAACACAGAGCAGGGGCCAGGGCTCTGAGTCTGAGAGATGATTGAGAAGGCACAGGCTGGCCAGTGGCTCATCACCCAAATGCCCAGGGGTGTAGGGTACTGAGCCCCAAGAGACATGTGGATGCCTGATACCAGGGCTTGTTTAAGAGTCGAGAAGCCACGGTTGAGAGACAATTCTCACTCATGTTGGATGGAGAGGTCCAGCCGTCAGTTAGTTGGAGAAGTGATGCTGTCATATATGGACTGGGTTCCAGGGTCCTGGCATGCCCGGTGTGGCAGGAGGAAGTGCCAGGATTGCCTGCCAAGGTCACAGAACCAATGTTATAATTTTAAAAATGGCACGTTTGAGAGATGCCTTCATGTGACAGGGTTCATGTGGATTTTTTTTTTTTTTTTTTTTTTTTTTGGAGGGAGGGAATGGAAAAGGGGGAGGAAAGGAGGGAGAACAGCTTCTGGTGACAGGAGCATCAGAAGAAAGAGGCAGAGAGAGAAGCAGGCTGACAGCCCTTTACGAGGGACTATAGCTGGAGTGACATTGTTGACGCTGTCAGGAGCCCAAGCAGGTCAGAGTGCTGCCTGAGTACTGGCAAGCTCATCCTGCTTGAATGTTAACACAGGATGATCAACACCTTCGTAAAGTTCAGCAGTCTTTTGTTACTGGAGATCTGTGCACATTTGAAGCCTTCACTTAGCAGCGAGCCTTGATATTGTGGCAATTTAATACACATGCTTAGGGCTTGGTTGTCAAAGTCCTGAGGCTCCCTATTGGTGGCCACGTTTCCCCATCCAGTGTCCCTCAGTCCCTCAGCACAGGAGAACACACACTGGGCTCGACTGGGACATGACCTGTGCAGCCGGTCTGCCCGCCACCAGGCCCAGGGAGGGGAGCAGTGATCTTCAGCAGAGGCCTGGCCTTCATCACTGATGCCTTTGTGGCAGTTCATGTCCCTGAACCTCAAATCCCCAACCCTCTCAGAGTTAGCATGGGGTTCTGGAGAGGGAACAGCAATGCCTTGACATGCACGCACGCACACACTGAGCGAGCGCTGCCACCGCCAATCACTTTACAGCCAGATGCTCTCTATTACATTTTTCTCTAAAGTAGGGCAAAAGGAAATGGCATCTGTTTGCTTGCACTATTTTCGTCTCCCACCAGGTGGCAGTGCTTTCCAAAATCAGAACTCAAGAGGAAGAAAAACACTTAAATACCTCACTTGACTCCACCGCACCCTACCTCACCCTCCAGCCCCCCAAACCCTACCCCACCTCATCTCCCCACCCTCACCACAACACCAAACAGGATTGGGGGGGACGAAGGGCTTCTGGTGACAAAGGCAGTAGTTGTGCTTGTGACTTGGAGGGAAGGAAGAGCCTTTGGGGTCCGTTTGGCACACAGCCCTTCACAGAAGAGCCTGAAGTTGTCATGCTTCTATGCACCTCTGTGACAGCGGATCCATTTTCCAATAGGGTGGCATTAGGCAATTATACACACTTGAGATTTGGTAAGAAATTATCTTTACACGAAGAGGCACAGTAGCTGGGATTTATACACAATAACAACTAAAAGCATCTGTGTTAAAGTCATGGGGGGTAGGAAACCCAGAAAGGATGGGCTGCCTAGCACAGCTTGCTGTCTTCACAGTGCAAGTCAATAGTGCAGCTGATCCCTCAGGGTCCCAGCCACACCTGCTGCTCCTCTCTGGGGCCCCAGAGCCCTTCTCATTGTAGCCATCCTGGCCTGGTGAAGAGAAGGAAGATCAGAGATCCAAGTCGGAGAGTTCATTTGATCACATCTCCAGCGTCACGCGGTTCAGAAAACAAATGTGTTGTGTGTGTACCTGCATTTGCATTCTCTTGAGAAGTCCCCAAAGGGTTAGGGGTTAGATTAGCTGCAGCTTGCCTCTCTGTGTGGCTTCACTGTCTCACTATTAGGATGCTTCCATCGCCACACAGACTGAATAAAGATGCCACCCAAGCCTTAGTGGATGCAGTTCTTGAGTAACAGATGCTATTAAAACGAAGTCTTTTAAAAGCTGGAACCTTTTCAGGAAGAAAAAAAAATTAGTACTTATATGAAAATTAAAGGTTAAATTCACCTACTAAACAGACATACTTTATAGTGTAATGATGGATTCACAGACACACATGTTGGCTGTGTAAAACTGTGCATCTCTACCATTAACAGGGAGGTTTCCAAAGAGACAAACTCTTCAAGGTTGGTACCATTAACAGGGAGGTTTCCAAAGAGACAAACTCTTCAAGGTTGGTAAACTTCGTTGGCACGAGGCAGAGTTAACCAGTTCCTTCTGTTTTCCAGGTCCCTTCCTCGTGTTTACAGGAACAGAGTTTCTGCCTGAGGTGCTACTTCACAGAGAACCTTTTAAGACAAAACCTCACGCTCACACCTCCCTTCTCCTTGGATTCTGCTCTAGCCAGATGGACTTTGCCCCAGCCAACAACTGTGGTATTTCCTGTTTAAAACCCAGTAACTTCCAACTTCAGTTCACTCCCTCACATTCCCTGTTTGCATACCTATTGTCTCTTAAGACACCCTTTTCTATGAACCTTGTTTCCTGACCACACGCCACAGCCACTTCTAATTTTCTGCCGCATGCTTCCTGTTCCCCATGCAGTGATCATGAATCCCGTCACACCGTGGACCAGGTCTCCAACGCACCTCTCCCAAGGGCCTACAAAACCCCTCTGGAGTCCAGTCCTGTTCTGTGACAGCATCTTGGGAAACTGCCAGGACAGCATTTCCGGGCACAGCAGGAACGTGTGTGTCACCTGGAAGGAGATACTGTGAATCTTGGAACGTCAGCTCATCTCGCCTTCAGTCGGACTGCACACCTGGTCAGATGCCTGAACAAGCTTACACACAAACCAGGACCGCACAAAACACCTTCCTGGAATCCCTGGTTCTAGGCTGATGAGAGAGACCAAGTTACCAGATGCTCACTGTCACCCTTCCGACACTGGCACCGAAGGTGTGAAACAGTGTCAGGAATGCAGCAGGATCACACACCCGACCAGCAGACCTGTCCCCAGCGGGGCCCTTAGTACTGTCACAGAGAGCACAGCACCACAGCTTTCCCAGCGGTGAAGAGGCACACACAGACTGCTGACTGGTGGGGTGAAGGGTGAGGGCAGTGGGTGCCCTCCTCCTGTGAGGTGAACGCGGACAGGGGGCTGGGAAGCTGTGTGCCCGCTACGGCTTGAATGATGCCCCCTGCCAGTCTCCGGTACCGAACATCTAGTCCCTGGGTCAGTTCCCGCTGCCAGCCAGCCTGGGGAAGCTTAGGAAGTGTGCCACTGGAGGCGGGCCATGGGAGTGGCCTCCTGACACTCCCCGAATGCCCTCTCTTGCTTTGTGTCTGCAGTTCAAGAACCCTCAGCGTCCTGCTCTGGCCTCCATCATTACGGATTCCAACTCCCTAAGTTCAAATACAGGTGTCTTCTACAGGTTGCCTTGGCCACGGTGCTTTATCCTGACAGTAGTAAAGTAACTAATACAGTGCTCTATGAAGCACCAAACTGCCGTGTCTAACACCCTTGGGCCTACCTGTCAGTGTCCTGCCCATGCTGAGTACATGGGGGTGGGGGAGGATGGGGGTGGGGGGGTGGGTGGCCGGGGGTGGGTCACTTCGGAAGACCTTACAACACAAAGAGCACACTGGCCTCTAATGTCTCAGAGCTGTCTGATGGTTTTAGGACTCTGACTTAAACTGGACTATAGAAGAACAAACCATGATAGTTATGTGCCTCCCACAGCTAAAGAAAAAAGAAAGAAATAGAAACCAACAAAATCGACAACTTGCGTCCTCTGTGCTGTGGGTAAGGGGATCCTTAACCGGAAGCCTAGTTTCTGGGGAGACAGTTTTCCATGTGTGAAGACGGTTTGGCATAGTTTTCCTTTCTTTGGAGGCTGCACTGACGACCTACACTAGGGAAAGACTAAAGAGCATCCAGGTGGTGAATTCTGTGGAGGGAAATGACCTGATTCTTTACCTGAAAAATTACCACAAAAACCCACTTTCAATTTTATAAACTTGCAATAAGGCACAATTCTTAAGCTGTTTTCATTTTTTTTTATTGCTGTTAATTCAAGGAAAAAGGTTGCATAAAATCCAATCTGTCCTAGAAATATAAGTGGCCTTTCCAGTACATAACATTTCAAATATCAAAGTATATGGTAAACATACAGATAAGGAGAAGGTAACACACCTCCTATGTACAGTACAGTATTTGAAATCATACAATAAACCCCATAACGTACACCTGGCAGGTGAGTCACAACACACCTGTGCAAGGCTTACTCTCCCCTGAACAACAACGCAACCGCAGCTTAACAATTTAATAATGTGGTCCAAAAATACCCAGATCAAATAAAATATATTTAATCAAAATAATTTCCTTTACTTGAACTTTTTTTCTTTCTAAATTAAAGCTTTGTCTACCCGGTCACACTTCCCCTTCTGTCCCCATCGTGCCCACCCCTGGAAGTCTCAGAATGTAGATTGGTGCTAGAAATATAAACGCTACTTTTGAAGTGTTGAACTAGCTTTCTTCTTCAAGTTTTTTTTTTTTTTTTTTTTTTTTTCCTTTGTCCCACAATGTCAGGCTTCCGAATGCAGACTAACATTTCAGTGCCTCGGCCACACCCCAACGGTATTCCCCACAACACAAGCCAATCGTTTCTACTCTTTACTGAGGAATGGGAACCCTCTGACCCCTCAGCCTTACAACTACGGGGTGGAGGTGGTGCTTGTTCACTGCTGTGAGTGTGGCAGTCACCGAAGACATATCCAACCTCCCAGATGACCTCAGTGCACTTCAAGAAATTAAACAATCACCTGGAAGCAATTTAGTACACAGATTGGCTTTTTCAAAAAAAAAAAAAAAAGTTAAAAAACAAAGAACAAAACAAAAACTCAAAACAACCCAGCAGCATTAAACTTAGTGACAAGACCCTGACATGATTAAAACCATCTCAACACACCCGGGGCTCAGTCTTTCACATTATAGTCAAGCATAGTGGTAAACGGCTAGAAAAGTGACTTTGCTCAGGGGACACAGGTAAGGGAGCCGACGCCTGACTTCTGTTCACATGTGACAGACCACACACACGGAAACACATGACACACTGTGACAGCTGGTGCGGCGGAAGGAAGACGACATCTTCACTCAGGCAGTGCCTGGTCAGGTCGCGGTGGTAGACAGAGGACTGGCTGTTGCCTGTCACACACACAAGCACACAGAATACGACATTCACACTAGTGTTCACTTCGTGTCTCTCTGAATGAGGCAACAGGCTACAAAGTAGGATGGAAGGAAAGCTGTCTTCTCTCGAGAAAAGCCAGTTTGTCCATTTCAAATTTCCGGCATCCCTCCGGCAGTCTGACTTCCTCTCTCCCACTTGTTTTCATGTTATTTGGACAAGTGCCGCATCTATGTATTTATGTGATGTCGTTTATGACATATATACATGCTTCTTGGGAAGCTGACTTCTAAGATGTATGGTGAGACATGTTGCCCTTGGTTCACACAGAGCAGGTCACAGAAGAGCGAGCGACAAGGACACCCCCGCACGGGCCAGGGAGAGGGTGGTCAAAGGGAGGAACCCGCAAGCAGCACAGCTTTTCCCCAACCCATACGACTGTTCCCAGTGTTGTGAAAACAAGTAAGGTCAGTACACAGTTTAAAGATTCAGTAAACATGGCACACAGCAAGTATTCAGTGTAAAAAAGCACACGTCAACGATTCTCATGAGTTTGTCTGAAATTTAAGTTACATATATCATACAAGCCTGCTGTTGAGCCAGAGGACCCGAGGCTCAGGAGCATCGCATTCTGTCTTATTTTGGACACTGATACAGAGAATGAAAACTCCCAACTGCATAGAAATGTAGGGAATGTACAGACAAAGAAACAAAATACCTTTCCTTTCCTCCCCTCCACACCCCATGACTCCCCGCACTTGAGTGCATTAAGTAGGCAAGCTTTGCTCGTTCAGTCTGCAGAATCCAACGTATCATTAGAAGGGGGGAGGGGAGGTGCGTATCTCAGTCTGTAAGTGCCTAAAACAGGAAAGACAGAACGGCTAAGTCACCGCTTATGACTACACGCATCACAAACCACTACATGAGATTGCAAATGGGCATACCTCAAAGGCCCTTCCTCGGCACTAACTCTGGCCCAAAACTGCAGGTAAGTGACTCTCCCAAACGCAACGGCAAGCTTGTGCTCCAAGTACAGCCTAAAGCTATTTACTGGACTTGCCTTTGAGGGTGCCCAGTACTTTCCTATGCCATACCTTTTCTGCTCAGATTTGGCACAATGACAAAGGCCAAACACACGGGAGAGAAGTGGTCAGAACTGAAGCCGGCCCTGTACCCACACCTGTTTAAGTGCATCTTCTTTATTCTGGCGTCAGCACTGTTCAACTAAACTCTTGTTAGCTTTACTCCCAAACTGGCGCTCACATCACTTTGTTCCTGTACGAATTCAATGGCCTCTTGGAACTTTTCTCCTCACTGTACGGAACATAAGGGCAGCATGGGCACAAATGTGAGCCGGCTGGCTACACACCGAGTCTAATCAGACTAAAAACCTTGGGTGCCAGGTAACTAGCTTCCACTGTAGTTTTCAATAACTGAAAATTTTCTTCCCCTATGAAAGAGGATTGCAATACAGCCCTGCAAGCAAGGGCCTTAACACTACAGACTTTAGACTTCCACGATAGCCTTGAACCCTCAAGCAAGTGCCTCTGGTGTTTATTCCCCAGTGACAAACTCAACGTCCTCTGACCTTGTGCTATGTGACCTAGATGGATCTACACTAATTTCTCTGGTGGCGATCTGATTTGTCACTGGAAATAGAGCCTCTGTAAACACACACACAAATGGATCCTTCTGCTAAGACAGAATCACATAATCAAGAGAGGAGGAGAAACAGGGGAACTCAAAAACAAGTCCTCTGGGAGAGAGAATGATTACCTTGTTGACTGGCCTCCATGGACGACTGCTTACAATCCTGTGCATAGTGTCCGCTTACACCACAATTGTAACATGACACATTCCCATTCTTCTTAGGCCCAGAGCCACTGGCACTGGCAACTACATTAGGTGCCGGATACACGGGATACAATCTCCCAAATCCTGCCATCTGTTGCATGCCATAGTTGGCTTGGCTCCCCATGACTGGGTCATGCACCAGTCCATTTGCATATGGTGTCTGAGGCAGAAAAAAAGGAAGCTGGGCTCCATTGTTCTGATGTGCTTGGTTGAGGTAGCTGCCATTGCAAATGGATGGCAGAGTGAAGAACGATGGGACTCGGTACATTGGTCCAGGCATTGGGTTGGGGTAATAGTAACTATTTAGCTGAAGGTTTCCATTGGTCCCACAGCTGCACCTTCGCCCACAAGAACCACAAGGACCTGAGGCCATCTGCTGTGGTGGCACTATGGTCCCATTAGCGTTCGTGTTCCCCACAGCATTGATGTAAGATGTGCTATCACTCTGAGCAGTACTGTGTGTCAAGGAAGGGCTGGGGCTTGGGGCAGGGCCTGGGGTGTGGGTAGGGACAGCAGGAGGGACTGTAGACTGGGCTTGACTGATGCCTGCACTTGCTGGCTGGGCAGAAGTGGAATTCTGGGTGGGGAGCACACTAGCAGCAAGGGGTGGGCCTGGGAAGGTGTAGGAAGCTGGTGGCTGTGCAGCTGAGAGGCCAGCTGCTGGGAGAACTACCTTCACATTGGTAGGCTGAGGGACTGTTCCTGTGTTTCCCTCAATCGGAGGCACCATTTGATTTAGTCCTACCACTTGGGATGCAGGCTTTGTGATGGGGTCCGTGGTAGCCACAGGAGATCCCGGGAAACTACCTGGGTTATGGACAGGAATAAAGGCAGTGTTTGGTGATGCGATGCTCAGACTTCCAGTTGGCTGTTGTGGAATATTAACTGTACAGCTCTCAGAAGATCCCTGTGGTGGTGGCAATTTCAGCCTCTGCAATGTTAGCTGCAAGGCAGGAGCACTATTGTGTGGGAGGAAGGAGGACGGGAGAGGTAAAGGGGACGCCAACAGTTCCAGGTGTTTCTCGGATTCTCCAGAAGCCGCTGGGCCGACGATTCCAACAGGGCTTGAATTCGTAGACTCCATCACTGTAGAGATAGCCATCGGATTAGGAACAAGCATCCCTATTGTTTTGCCATCTGTAGACTTGGGTGAAGGGATGACAAGTTCTGGCTTCTGGGCACCATTGTGCATGACACAGTGTAGAGTTGGCATGAAGGGGATGTGTGGGTACTTGTGTGAGGTCAATGGGGCTTCTAAAAGGCCCCCGTTCTCACTCCCCAGTGAGACAATCTGAACAGGTGGCTTCACAGTGACAGTCTGGTTGATGGAGCCATAATCTGTAAACCTGGCTGTTGATGGGTTCCCAGAATCTTCAGAATTGCTGTCAGTGTCTAAAGAAAACAGGCAAGCACGGATTACCCAGGGCTGAATCCCGATGTTTCTTAGCAGAACTAAGATTTACGTGTATCTGGGATGAGCTGCTCTATCACATTTTCTAACTGCCCACGCTAACTTCTGTTCCATCTTTGGCTTTCAGTATGCTTTCATCTCTAAGACAATAAAAGGTCACTGGAGTATAAAACACAAGAGACATGCATGCACCGCTGCCTTACTACTGAGGAAAGCGTTAAATACAGATTTTAAGTAATTTACTTAATTCTGTAGCATCAAAAACCTGATTCTGAATTTAATCTCACAAATGATTCAATTTAAGGAGCATGATTAGAACAATATTTAACTCAAATACTTTTAAGGTGGGAAATGGAGTATTTGTACCACTATATGCTCAACAGGAACACTTAATGCTACTTGTATTAGTCCTACAATGAGTACTCTAGAAGACAAAAGGCAGGATAAGAAAGAAAGCACCACCATTTCTCCACAACTACACAGCAGTTCCAACCAACTCCAGCTTCCAGACAGGGCACAAAGGAGCCAAGGTACTTCCTGGTGCTGTGTTTAAACATGGTGAATATTGCATTTCAGTCTACACAGCTCACTCAGTTAGATGCAGTCCTAACCCTACCCATCTTTCTGCTCATGAATTAAGCAGTTTTGCACTTGGCACTTAGTGTTCATTAAGGCAAGAACTGGCTACATGTAGGTGACAATGTGAAACATTCTTCAAACCATCCTTCCTAAAGAAAAGCTAAACAGAGCCCACCTGACACAGAATACCAAGTGCTATTAATTGAACTGTCTCAATTTATACTAGAGGGGAGAGTAATCGGTTCCAGCAAATATGTCCCCTAACAGATAATTATTATACTACTTATTACAAAACTTTGAAAAGAACTTCCCTAAATTAATAACCTCTTCAAGGCACTGGCTGTGTACCATCCATCAGTGCAGGGTTAACAAATGCCAAGTCCAAAAAGAAAACAGAAGCCATCTTTAGATGGTCAGTTAAATTCCATATGAATACAGCGACCTTACGATTTCCGGAGCACTACAGGGATCAGGTAGATGTTTTGGAAAGCACAAAGTCTCAGAGCATCATTACAACAACAAAGCCACATGCTTCCGAAGACCTCTGTGTACTCAAGTCTTGGGAAATGTTCAAAGCTTTCCATCCCTGTGTGTGCCTGGGAGCACCGTTAAGGGTCTTGTGTTCAGGGAAATTAACATGAATAAAGGACAATGTCCTCCACACAGGACTATCAACTTACAGGTCTGAGGACAAGAAGGGGATGCTAAGTTATCCACAGATCTGGCAACCAGGTAAAATCTGCTCCAGACTCACAGAATGATCTGTACACTCCACAGAACCAAGTACAATGTGTACTACAAATACACCGAAAGCCTGTCTATTCTGGACAAGGCACGGTCTACGGTCTCTCAGTGTCCCATAGCTCTGAGGGTACACAAGTGCTAAGTGCAGTGTGGCCTCACATCAGCAACGATGACCACTGCAGGATTCATTTGATGGGACTATGAAACCACCACAAAGTAAAGACTGGCTTTCAACTGTTTGCAAAGACAAGCTGTCACAGTGACACAGAAGCCGAGGCCCCAGTGAGTGTAAAACTGTGCAGCAAGCAACCACACCTGGCTGAAAGACCATGGTGCAAGGACTTTAACAGAGAAACCGTTTGAGACTGCGCTCAGCCCGGTACCTTCACTGCCATGTCGGCCATTAGTTGTGCTTGGCACATATAAAGGACATCATCCTCAAACCAGGTTTTACAAGGGGCTCTTACTGTCAGACAAGAATGGAGAGTAAGGCTCTCCAATGAGAACAGCAGAAAATGTTACAATCAACCTTCTTAGAAAGGTGGAAATTACCCGAAGGCCTGAGTGATCAATCCCAGAGTGTAAGAGCAATGTCAATCTCTTAAGAACAGAGGCCCTTATGACCTTTATCTGGCACTACCCTAATCCAACTCCTTACCTGTCAATCAACAGTAGCTTTGAAAACCAGTAGCACACACACCACTAGAGAGACGTTAAGTAGAGTTTCCCGCAAACACTATCTCCACAAAACCAGCCACCATGTGAGCAGAGTGGCTGCCGTGAGCACCCTGCCTGTTTCCCATCCACAGGACCAGCCCATTTTGCAATATCCCTGTCTACTGGATTTCATATTAATTAATTAATACATTTAATATCAAATTTTAAGTCAACAACGAGTTTTCTACGACTTTGGGTCGTTTAGGAGATAACAGCGTCATCCGCCCCCACCTCTTTTTATCCCTCTGCTAAAAGCAAACCTCTGTCCTTTTCTTCTTCACTTTCAAAACTTTCTCTTCCATCATGTCGTGGACTAGACGGAGAGCTGTAACTCTCTGAAGACGTTTCCCCACACGTGTCATGTCCAGATCCAATGTCCAAATTCACATCTAAAAACAACAACTCTAAAGTTACATTAAATAGTTGTATTAATTTTCAAATGGAACCATTAGAAATTAGTTGTAGCTATAAATGATTTTTCCTACAACACTTAAAAATTGTCTTTGACCTGTGTTAAAATTCATTATTGAGCAGCTGATAAGTAACACATTTAACACATAGGCACAGAAGGACAAGTCAATTTTATTAACTTAATCAGAATTAGTTTCTTGTATGGTCAGCCCAATATCAACACTTTGAGCCCCCTTCCAAGTCTACAGTCTATTTTCCTAGAGTTTCCTAAAGAAATCCTCCAGGAGTGGGTCTATCATTAACACGTGGTCTGCAAAAATCACTAGCTGTGCCAGGGTATTTAAAGCAACAACATGCCTCACAGCCAGCAGTGTAGGTAGCCCCCGAATTTCTACCCAGAGGCTACTCCTATGCCAAGACAAGGGATGCCTGCAGTACAGGCAAGTATGAACCAGCTATATCTGTTGTGGGCACACTAGGACAGAATATTCTAGTATGCATCACCCATACATGAGTCCAGCCTTTTCTTATTCACTTCTGTAAACCCAATTGCTAACATAGTTTTTGTTATACAGCCAGCATCCAACACGCTTACTGTACAGATCCACAGAAGGAACTGTTTGTGCCTGTGTGTCTCTCCAGTCCCCAAAGCCTAAGTTCTTACTGGTCTCTGTGTGGTAATGGATGCATCTCTTCAGAACAGAGTTAAAGATATGATTTTACTGAGTAGTCAAGCCTGGCCCTGAACTGGTAAGGTTCATGCTTCAGCCTGCAAAGCCCTTGGATTTCAGGAGTGTGCCACCATCCCTACCACTTGAGACAAAGTTTTCAAAGAAAATACACTGCCAACAGAGATGACTCACAGCACAGGCCCTTCTGGAAGCAGAAAGCATGGAAGGGAGCTGTGAGAGATCTTTATTTTGTTCCTTTTCATATTTCTGAGATACCTGAATATACTATTAGTCAAAGGAGAAATTACAATTTAAAATAGAATTTTAAAAATTAAAAGGAAATGACACCTATCTTAGGATGGACTACACTGTTTAAAGCTGAACATGCACTGATCAGAGGGACCCAGCATCTCAGCTCTAACACAGGGTCTGCATTTCACCCAGCAGCTGCGCCATACAGGAAGAAAAGAATTATTTCCAGTTTATTGAATGCTTAAAGTCTGTTCTTTGTTGGCACTTTAACACTTCAGAGGAAAATAAATAGATTTGTTTTCTTAGCTTGGGGTTTGCATGCATCTGCTTTATATTGAGATATCAGTGAGACAAGATGCTCAAAGTACACTTTATTCATCATCCCGCCTGATTTAAAAAAAAATATGGATACACAGATCTGTATCTAGTTAGATACACAAACAAAAAGCCCCCAAAAACCAAAACAAACAACCCCCAAATAGGCCACACATCTAAGAAACAAGAGACACAGAACCAAATCCATGGATAGCTCTGACCAAAGTCCATGTGACGTTTTGTGGATACTTAAACACCTTGGGGAGCAGTTCAGAAGTGTGTGGGGTGAGAGGCAGGGGGACCTCGCAGACAGTGTGGGATGAGAGGCGGGGGTGGGGTGGGGTGGGGTGGGATGAGAGGCAGGGGTGTGGGATGAGAGGCGGGGGGTGGGATGAGAGGCGGGGGTGTGGGACGAGAGGTGGAGTGGGGTGGGATGAGAGGGGGGGTGGGATGAGAGGGGGTGGGATGAGAGGGGGGTGGGATGAGGCGGGGGGGGTGGGATGAGAGGGGGGTGGGATGAGAGGTGGGGGGTGGGATGAGAGGCGGGGGGTGTGGGATGAGAGGCGGGGGTGTGGGGTGAGAGGCGGGGGGTGGGATGAGAGGCGGGGGGGTGGGATGAGAGGCAGGGGTGTGGGGTGAGAGGCAGGGGTGTGGGATGAGAGGCGGGGGGGTGGGATGAGAGGCAGGGGTGTGGGATGAGAGGGGGTGTGGGATGAGAGGTGGGGGTGGGATGAGAGGCAGGGGTGTGGGATGAGAGGCGGGGGGGGTGGGGTGGGGGTGGGATGAGAGGCAGGGGTGTGGGGTGAGAGGCGGGGGGGTGGGATGAGAGGCGGGGGGGTGGGATGAGAGGCAGGGGTGTGGGATGAGAGGGGGTGTGGGATGAGAGGCGGGGGGGTGGGATGAGAGGCAGGGGTGTGGGATGAGAGGCAAGGGGGGTGGGATGAGAGGCAAGGGGGGTGGGATGAGAGGCGGGGATGTGGGATGAGAGGCGGGGGGGTGGGGTGGGGTGGGATGAGAGGCAGGGGTGTGGGGTGAGAGGCGGGGGTGGGTGGGATGAGAGGCGGGGTGTGGGATGAGAGGCAGGGGTATGGGATGAGAGGCAGGGGACCTCGCAGCAGGTGGTGCAGACAGAACTTGCCCAGGAGAGTTGTTCTTGAAGACAAACATGGAAGCATTGTGGAAAATGAGCCAGGGGGCAGAGACATGAACCCCAGCAACCCTGGCAGGAGTGGTTTCTAGTCAGCCACCAGCACACAAACTTTTGGCTCACCGTCTGGGACATCAGACACCACATGTTCCTACACCACAGCCTTAGGTAGGCAAGACGGGGGTTTCCAGGTCATTTTCCCTTTCCTCGTGGTCTCACTGAGAATGGCCCCCAATAGGTTTATATACATTTGAATGGTTGGGCCGTTGGTGAACTGTCTGGGAACAGTTGAGAGGTGTGGCCTTGTTGGAGGAGGTGTCACTGGAGGTAGGCTTGAGTCCCACAAGCCCACACCACTCGAAGTTAGCTCTCTCTGCCTGTGGATCGGATGTAAACGCTCAGCTAGGGCTCTAGCACACGCCTGCCTGCTGCCACGCTGCCTGGTCGCGCTTTATCAAGGCAACAGAGAAGTCACTCTCACTTTAGCTAACACGGTAAACTGGCATGACTTTGAGATTTGTTTTTCTATACAATTTAGTGTTTCTATGAACGTGTAGTTGAATATATACCCTAATTAAGAAATATTCTTGTCACTTCTGTTATATTACAAATTAATGTGCTGCCAGGTCAGAAAGGTTTAAAAACAACAACAACAAAAAACCACAACAGTTTGTGGAATCGACTAGTTAAGTGTCAGGTGCACACATACAATATTTTCTGAGAGGTCTGTGGCTTTTGATTCTTTTTCTATTTTTACAATTAATACTACAGGCAAATAAAACACAAAAAGCAACCCATGAACTAGACAAAGAGCTTTCCATCAGATGAACCTTAACCCTAAGTACAGAGGTACTTAAAAGTCTCTACCATAAAGACGTTAGATAAATGGAAACTAAACCACCCAGTCCAACAAAGCTCCATAAATAAGTTATTAAATTGAAAAAAATGTCAGAAACATTCTAAAATGGACTCTGACAAGAGTGTGCCTAGATTTCCTGGAGGGTGGTCCACACAGCCCTGATGTCAGAAGCAGCTTGCTCTGCAATGGAGACTGGCCATAGCTGGTGTGGCCCTAAATGATCGTTTGGAAACTGCTGTACACACTGACAACAGCTCTAAGATGCTGCAGTGCAGATGTTGAGGCTGATCACTGGACAGAAACCCTTCCTTACCTTTCACAGTACTGCCATGAGCATGCTGAGGAGCAGAGAGTCTAATACCATTTACTCTACTGTTCAATCTGTTCTCGGTTTTCTTAATTTTCTCCCTAAACCAAACAGACACACAAACATAAAATCAACACTTGTGTAATGCCCTCTACCAAAAACATTAAATACAGTAATAATAAAATCCTCCAGATTTTGTATAATTTGAAACAAATTCCAAGAACACTTAAGAGTGTCACCATTCAGAGTGCTTCTGAGCATGCTGTCCCCCACCCCACCCCCCAAACACATCCTTTGATGGAAGCTTTACTTCTGTCACATGCATGGTGATATTTCAACTACAAATGTTAATCCCAAAGCTAAAAGGTAAAAATCAATGGAATACACTATTTATAGATATAAACTAAATACATTCATAGACATGCTTGTCTTTCCTAACTTTCATTATTGCAAACATGAAATTGAACCTACTTTTCTATTTGTGGCTTTCCTTTCTTCTTGTTTACTGAAGACAAGCTCTGTTTTTCAGCAGAGAGCTAGTAGAAATAAAAACAAACAGACCTCAGCTACACCAAACATTGCTACAGGTATCCTTATTCTACTATCAAACACTAAAAAAGACTATTCACCACCACAGACTGACACATTTTCGTTTCCAGCCCACTTGTGAAGTTACCTACAGAAGCACTAAATGTACATAGTCTATGACAAAGACTCATATTAATCTGAGAAAACCGTTTTTTACAACAGATCTGATTCCCTTCATCTGACAGCAGGTCTCCTCGATTGCACTTTGACTGTCCAGGATCAACCATTCAAAAGCATGCTAATGGATACTTATGGATACTTCCAGAAGTGAATATGCCCTGTTTTAAGTTCCTGTTCTGAGTACGGCATGGTGAAACCTCACATACATCCCTTGCCTAACAGAACTACTATTCACTACTTTCCTGAAAGCAGCTAAGCACATGAATACAAACACACAAATTATGACACTACACTGTTACAATGTACTTTACAATAGTAGTGACTGTTGTTAACTTGCACTGGGCCCACTTGTAAAGTTTATGAATAGGAAGATACAGGGTTTCCAGGTACTCTGCTGAGCACTGGGCACTACTTCTATGGACTAGGAAGACTACTGTCCAAAACAGGTTATGACCAAGGGATTGGTATTGGTTATGGAAAACCGAGATGGCTTTAACAAGAAGACCATTAATTATGACAGTGGCAATTCACAATTTCTCAAAATATGCTTTTGTCCATTAAAAAAAAGATGTGGATCTGTGTATTGGTCAGAAATGTAATAGACTGCACATATCAATCTTCCAGAAAGAATATATTGGCAACCCGGTGGTGTATATTATACTAAATGCATCACCAGCATTCTCCTCTCCTCATGGCTGTTCATAGAAAGCAAGCATTCATTTATTACATGCAAGAAAGTGGGTGAACCTGCTTAAACATTTATAAGGAGAGATTAGTTTGAAAATTCCTATCTTCATGTCAAGATAGTGATCTGACAGGTGGATAATCCTTTTGAGACCAAAATAATAACAGTAAATTGGAACAATTTAATGAACCCCTAGAACTAAAGGCTTCATGTACCTTACTAAACTGCATTAGTCTTACACAATCACACCCTTTCAGACCCCAGAGGAAACACATGTAAGGTTAAAGCCTCACACTGAAATGTCCCTTACAGTGCTCATTTCTTAGGAAACACAGAGTGGACACACTTTAACCAAATGGTGCCAAAGCCAACCTGACACATACTTGGTCAACAGAGGTCACACAGTGATCTGGGTGCTGGATGGTGGCACAGCCTTGGTTCCTCCAATCCACAATTCCATTCTGTTCTGCATACTGCACGGTAAGCCCATCCAACGGAGAACAGCTTGTCCCAATACTGCTAGTGAAAAGAAAGCATATGACAGTGTCAAGTGTGTCCCACAACATCACCTGTCCCACCACCGCAATGAAGAAGCTGCAGGAACCCTTTCTCTAATCCCTCAGCTTCTGCTCTTGGAGTGTCTAGCGATGAGCACATCGGCATGAAACACGTGTATTCTAAGAAGTGAGTATCTAACTTGGTGTCAGTGTCTGTGTGGCTGAGGTGTCCCTGCTCCACTGCAGTCACCTCAGAGACACTGCACAGCCTGGATGAGGTAAGAACTGCAGAGAACTGAATGAACAGTCATGAAGGACCAATACAGAGTGACTGGGAACCCTCCAAATACAGACCACAGCACGGGCCAAAGCACCAAGACAATGAAGTTTCTGGGGATACACTGTAGGGGTTGAACACTTAAAAATATAGTCACTGCACAATTCTTCACAGACTGAAAGGACAATACTCAACTTTATATGGAAAAACAAAAAACCGAGGATAGCCAAAACAACCCTGCACAATAAAGGAACTTCCGGAGGCATCCCCATCCCTGACTTCAAGCTCTACTATAGAGCTATAGTCCTGAAAACAGCCTGGTATTGGCACAAAATCAGACACGTAGACCAATGGAGTCAAATTGAAGACCCTGATTTTAACCCACACACCTATGAACACCCGTTTTGTGAGAAAGAAGCTAAAACTATACAATGGAAAAAAGAAAGCATCTTCAAGAGTAGCACAGATACTAAGATTGACAATCAATAAATGGGACCTCCTGAAACTGAGAAGCTTCTGTAGGCAAAAGACACAGTCAACAAGATAAAACGGCAGCCCACAGAATGGAGAATGATCTTCACCAACCTCACATCTGACAGAGGGCTGATTTCCAAAATATACAGAGAACTCAAGAAGCTAGTCACAAGATACCAAATAATCCAATTAAAAAGTGGGGTACAGAACTAAACAGAATTCTCAATAGAGGAATCTGAAATGGCTGAAAGACTTAAAGCTCAACATCCTTAGCTATCAGGGCAATGCAAATCAGAATAACTCTGAGATACCATCTTGCTCCTGTCAGAATGGCTAAAACATAAAACATCAAAAACAATTTATGCTGGAGAGAATGTGGAGAAGGGGGAACACTCCTCCACTGCTGGTGTGAGTGCAAACTCAGACAGCCACTTCGGAAATCAGTTTGGTGGTTCCTCAGGAAAATGAGAATCAGTCTATCTCAAGATCAGCAATTCCACTCTTAGGCATATACCTAAAGGATGCACAATCATGCAACAAGGACATCTGTTCAACTACATTCATAGCAGCACTATTTGTAATAGCCAGAACCTGGAAGCAACCTAGATGCCCCTCAACTGAAGAATGGATAAAGAAAATGTGGCACATCGCCCTAGTGTATGAATGGACTTCTTAGCCTAGAGACAAGAGGGAGGACATGAGGCCGTGCCCCAAATGACTTGACAGACTTTGATGATCCTTCATGGATGGCCTCACTCTTCCTGGGGAGTGTATGGGGGTGGCTGGTGGGGGACATGGGAGGATGAGAGGGAGAGGGAATTTGGATTGATATGTAAAATCAGATTGTAATTTAAATAAAATTTATTGAAAAAAAAAAAAAGAAGTTGAGGTAATCTAGAGAAAAACTTTGATCTCAGAAGGCAGGACAATTCCTAAACTGAACTCATGAGCAGAGGTGAGGGCTGAGAGCCCATGTGCGTGCGTACGTGCGTGCATGAGTGCGTGTATAAAAACCCAGAAAAGAGAGACAGACTTCCTACAAGGCAAAAATAAGGCTTTGAACCTCCCTAATTTTGGTTTTAAGGGACAGAATGAGCAGTTAAATCATTTATACAAGTAAACTTGACCTTAAAGACTTCAAAAAAATATATAGTTGCTAGAAGAATGAAATGAAAATCTTCAAATGCAAAATGGTGTGATTCAGTGGACGGAAGCTGAGGAGGAGGGAGAGGAGGAGGAGGAAGAGAAGGAAGAAGAGGAGGAGAGTAATCCAGTGGACGGAAGTTGAGGAGGAGGAGGGAGAGGAGGAGGAGGAAGAGGAGGAGGAGGAAGAGGAGGAGAGTGATTCAGTGGACGGAAGCTGAGGAGGAGGAGAACCGAGAGAAGAAAATATAAGGGAGAAGAAAAACAATTTAACACAGCAATGTCAAAGACAAGCAGGATGTATGAACAGCCCAGCTCATAAGGACTTCAGCGCCTCTTACTAGATGGCTCAGAACAGAACACAAGGAATGTCTTAAGGCATAAGCTAGGAATTTTGGAAAATCAAAAGAAATAATGTTATAGTCTAGAAGCAGAATCAATACAGAAACAGCTACAAAGTCCATCAAGACAGCTGAGCAAACCCCAAAGCACCAGGAGGAACAACTACCAAAAGAACAGCAGAGACTGTTCTAAAGGGACGGCTCAGGACGGGATCTCAGAGGAGAAGCCTGTTCTAAAGGGACGGCTCAGGACGGGATCTCAGAGAGGAGAAGCCTGTTCTAAAGGGACAGCCCAGGACGGGATCTCAGAGAGGAGAAGCCTGTTCTAAAGGGACGGCTCAGGACGGGATCTCAGAGGAGAAGCCTGTTCTAAAGGGACGGCTCAGGACGGGATCTCAGAGAGGAGAAGCCTGTTCTGAAGGGACAGCTCAGGACAGGATCTCAGAGAGGAGAAGCAGCTGCCTGCCATATGCAAAGGAGCTCCAAGACCGCCTATAAAAAGAGGAAGCAGGCGCCCACACAATCAGCAAGGGCCCAGGTTCAGAAATCAGGGAGCCTTGTGGCACTTGAGTGAGGGGAGGAGTACTGTTGCCATGTGAAGTAGAAATCACATAATGATTTTATGTGCGCTGCCTGAGACAAAGGTGGCTGATGGGGTTCACAATAGGTGAAAACTATACGACCCACAGCAGACGGTCAGGTATACAGTCAAAGAGCTAACTGAAAACAACTGCCAAGCTAGCACGTAAAAAGGCTCCTATAAATACAGGCAACTGCTTTGTTGACTCCTTTCTCCATGGAGATGGAGGTGGAGATGGAGGAGCGGGTGGGGAGGTAGGGAAAGGAACAGGAGGACAGGAGGGAGGTGAAACTGTGGTCAATTTGTGAAATGAATGCAAAAATTTAACAAACTTTAAAAAATGAAGGCAAACTACTCCTTTTTCCTTCAGATAAAAACTTAAACTGTGATCAGGGTTAAGTGTAGCTCAGTGGTAGAGGCCTTGCCTAGCATTTGTCAGTATGTATGTCCAATGTCTAGTAATACCAAATGTACGCGTGCGTGCGTGTGCACACACACACACCACGAAAGCTAACTGCATTACCATATACGGTACCCATCAGGTTAAAAGGAAAACCATCCCAGGTGGATGCTGAGGGGCGAGAGGAGCAAAAAGAGGAGCTCCAAGTTCCTCAGGTGATTTGAGACACACCGCAAGCAGAAATTTACATTAGACTTGATGAGGTGAAATGTTTGGGGTAACCACCAGAATAAGAAAACGGAGCTGCTACAGAGGGGATCTTCCTCCAAAAGGCAGCAAGGAGGGACACAAAACAGAACATCAGACAAGACAACTAAAAAAAGAAAAAGTCACAGACAACGGTAAGTACACAAGAAGCCGAACTAAATGGTAGTGGCTCCAAGGAGCACAAAGGCGTTTGCTGTAGAAGTCAGATGCCCACCTCACAGCCGGACTCTTCCCAGCATGTTTCTTGTGGATTATGGTGTGCTGTAACACATCTAGGGCAGAAGAAAACACAATTAATTCAGGGCACTACATGCTGTACAGACTGAACCAGCTCAAACCTGATGGTCCCCTACCCAGGACTGCGAGTTTATGCTGACCTCTTGACACAGGGTCCACTAACAGTACAGTCTGACCTGAGTCCAACCCCTGCCTCACCCTCCTGGGTGCTAGAACTCCAGGGCACTACCATATCCAGTTTTACAGAAGATTCTTTACCACACCTCCAATTACCTAACACTACCTCAAATGTGCATACCAATCTTGCTCAATATTATGCAAATTTAATGAGTGTGTTAACTTCAAACTGAATTTTGCTTTAGGTAAAACTCTTTATTTCCCTTTTAAAAAAGGATGTCCACATTTTTACAAGTCTGTCGGAAACATATATGCCCATCCATGTACCAGACCACATTCCAGTTGCTTTAAAAAAAAAATGTATGAGGTAAGGCTAAGTAAGGGCCTCTCTTCACTCCACTCCTCCCCTCTAAAGAGGTCTAACTACTATCTAAGCTGCTGGGGCACTCCAGGGAAAGTTCCATTTTAACTACTTGCATGTGTATGGACGTTCATAGACTCAGACAGGGCTGTGGAGGGAGGGTTGAGTATGCCACAAGCACCCTTCTAACCCTGCCCAGCAGAGCCATCGATATTGAGCTGAAACACTCTGGCACCTGTGGCTCCATACCACGCTGCAGCCAGCTCATGGGCAAGTTTCACAGACGCACCGTCAGCGGCAGCAGCCGTCCTCTCCAGCGTCACTGCATTGTGCCAGACTGTGCAAACATGTTGGCAATTTACATCTCATCCATAATGCCTGCACTCTCGCTGCCACAGCGTGTGGCGTCAGGCTCGAAGAACGTGCACTTGGGACACCATCTCAATTACCCGCGAAGCTGGATGCTCATGGGCTTGGGGGCGGCGTCACCCATAAAATTCCTAGGGCAACTTTGTCACTGATTTCTGGAGGAGGATCCTTCTACTGTGAGCAATTAGTCTCTCTCTTAGTACCTCGCCTGTGGACTGTCTTCTACAAGTACCTGGGCTCCTTGGTCATACATTAGGTTCATGCTTAGATTACTCAAAAGTACAGCCACAATCTGCTTTAGTAAACACAACCTTCTTTCCCTGGGTTTATACATAAAACTACATTTTGCCAACAGCTGTATCCCTTGAGTGTTGTGCATGACATATGATGGGGTCTGGTTAACATATACTTCATACAGAAAGACAACCGTGCCACCACCATGGAGTGGGCAACCTCGACTTTGCCCTCTACTGTAGTGCCATCTGACGTACCCAATGCCCCTGTCTGTAACTGGGCTCTCCTTACTCTGTTCTGACTGTGGTCAGGGTATGCAGACTTAGTCTAGTGAGTCTACAATTACCTTCTTCTTGACTTGAAGCTTCTGAGCTGTCTTCTTTTAAGTGTTCTAATATCTTAGAAGTCTTCAGAGAGGACTGTAAGTTATCTGCAGGAAATAATTCAATACTACTAACTCTGGGAAAATTGTAATGGTGAGATAAAGAAAATAAGTATAATGATTATCCCTCTGCCCCAACAAGAGGAGAGTGAAAGGTTACTGGTTAAAGAACCTTTCTCCAAGGTAGGGCTTCAAGAATGCACAGGAGTATTTGGCTGCAGTCTGAGCAAGCTGCTCCCTCAGGCACCAGTTGGCTGAACAAGTCATCCCACACCTCTCAGCCCCAGGATGCTTGCTCAGCACAGGACCACAGGGAGAGTGTGCTTCTGCTGTCCACTGCCTAAACTTCAGTGTGCTTTACACTGTTACTCTTTAAACCCCGGACCAACACTGTGGCAAGTGTGTTTTACACTGGTACTCTTTAAACCCTGTACCAACACTGTGGCAATACTGCACTGCTATAAAACCCCAAATCTCTTCCCTTATGGAGCGATGACTGTGGGTCAGCGCTGACCCACAGGACCCATAGTCACAGCAGTGTATCCCGGACAAGGAGCCTTGAGCCACACTTAAGAGTTTTACGGTTACTATTGGCATATGGGACACTGTCCTCTGTCCCAGGGTAACAAAAGGTAGTTTTTTCATTAAGTGTGCAAATGAACCCTGACAACACTATGATATTCTTCAGTGAAACAACTCACACATGTATAGACTGCTGACAAGTTTCCCCACACTCCAAGATGTGTACATTCAACACAATTTACATGTTCAATCTTCAGATAAAATCTGCCAGGCTCCTTAGCATTGCTTATGAATTTAAAACCTCGCCAAGCCCTCAAGAGACAGCCTTATGTATATATATACTTCCCAAGTGCGTAGCTTTCCTGGGCAGGGTGATAATCTGTGCTAGAAGCTTAACTTTGTTCCAACGCCTTTTTAGAATGAACCAGGTGCTGCTGGTAGATACTATTAAAAAAACAAAAATCTAACACTTTGACTTGGGAAGAAGGGTTGACTGTTGAGTCTACAGAGCTCTAGAATAACCATGACTTGAAAAAGCACTATCATTATTCAGACAGAAATTTAGTCAAGGAGACACACTGTTGTCCATCTTATTCCAGTCAACGAGTCACAGAACTAAGCTTCTGATCCCAACAGCTAGCAGGGTTCTAAACATTTAAGGCATGCACATGGCCACCACATGTGACACTCCAGCAGTTAGCGAAACTTGGAATGCTAATACACGTTGAATAGTTAATCATACTTCTCATCTCCTTTTTTTCATATCTCAAATTGAGGAGGCATGTATTTTCTTTCTCCTTTAGGTATATAAAAATGACAACTGAAAACAAGAGGAAAGATCCAAAGAAACAATGTTCCTGAAAATACTGGCCATCTAAAGTGAGTGGAAAGTATCTATGGAACGTAGCAGCATTATGGGCAACATATCTGATTAAAGCCAGGCTAAGGAGAATTGGTAGAAAACTAAACACAAGACAGGACTGATGAACACTCAGGCAGGAAAGCACAGAGAAGCAAGACTTCCTGGGAAAACTCCCACGAGGTGATGTTTCAGTCTTCATGGAACAGCAATGACAGCGATGGCCAGAGACACCAGAACATAAGCCACAGGCACAGGGAAGAGCTGAGCCACAGACAAGGGGCCCACGGGAGCTCAAGGTCTTTCATTAACACCTCATTTCTTACCAAGCTTCTGATAAAGGTTTTTATCAGAGAATTAGCAAATAAAATGTATCCCCAGAATACTCCTGAGATTAGGGACACAGCGGTGTTTTGTAAGTAGTCGTCCACGGTCAAAAGGCTAAGGGACTATACAAGTCAGCACTCCAGGAAGTGACACGGCACACCCTGCCCCAGAGCAGCCAACAGCTAAGTAAGCCAATCTGCTTGGTTCTGTGGCCCCCGCAGGGTATAAAGTTCACTAAAGAGGCCAAATATTTCTTAACTGCATGTTTCTATTCCATAACTTTGAACAAGGTGGCACGCTAAGACACGAAAAGCAGGCAACCAACAAACCCTATAAAAAACCGAAACACAAACACGTCCCAGATTCCCAAGCAGCAACGGGGCACTTACTGACAGTGTGCTGAGACTCCGAGGACAGTGACCGGAAGAAGCTGCGAACTTTCTGACTCTGAAGAAAAGCCTGGGATGAAGTTGAAAATAGCTGCCTGTGTGAGAGAAGAGCTGCATTAACTGCCAGTGTGCACACCCAGTCTCCACTCTGATCAAAGTCAATGTAAGCCACTGGGGCATTCAAGCACGGGGGAGGAGCCGGGGCGGGGCAGGGGCGTGTGTGTGTGTGTGTGTGTGTGTGTGTGTGTGTGTGTGAGAGAGAGAGCGTGTGTGTGTGTGTGTGTGTGTGTGTGTGTGTGTGTGTGTGTGTGAGCGCGTGTGTGTGTCACGGGGGAGGGGGCAGAGGTGTAAGCCAAACCTTTCCTAAAAGAAAGCATTATTTTCTGGTGTACTTACCCTGGAGCAAGGAAACTAACGAAACCCATTTGCAAGAATCTACTAAACATCTATTTTTCACGGCGCAGTTTCAACCAGCGCCCCCTCACCCCCAACCCCAAAAAAGTTTCTTCAGTTGTTTGCTTAGAAGGTCTAAAAGCTGCCTTTCTAGTCAGAAAAAGACCTGCAAAAGTTCCCCTCCTCACGCATGTATAATGTGGCTGTTCTATCGAGGGGCCTCACATTTTGAGGAGTCTGTGAACTTGTGGTGTTAGGGGTTCTGGAAAGCAGGGAGCACAGTGACAGGTTACCACCACAGCACTGGGAGGGTTTGGTCTGCACCGCACCAGGAATAACTCACCGTAGAAAACTAAAGGGCCCTGCAGGGGTGCTGGGAACAGACCTGCAGCCCTCAGTTAGGGAAGAACCTGCCAACCTAGCTGCCCCCGCCCTCTTTTTACTTATTTTTCCTAATTCTTATTTGGAGATAGGATCTCCGTCAGAGTCAGAGTCGCCCATGCTAGCCTAGCCTGGGTGACTGCAGGTCCACATTGCTAGGCCTAAGCCCCCCCTTGCTTGTTTTATTTTAGAATTTAAAAAAAGTAATATTCTAAGTTCCATTTTGGAGATGGGGGTCTCATGTTGCCTGTGCTTATCCTAACTCCTGAGCTCAAGTAATCTTCCTGTCTCAGGGTCCCAGTGCTGAGGACTATAGGTGCATACCACCCACATCCAGCTTATCTAACTATGAAGTAAGAAACAGCGGGACACTCCAAATGTCCTTTTCCTACATGGCTACTGAGCTATCCCTGACAGTTAACCAACAACCTGGAAATTATCTTCCCACCTTAAGACACAGAGGACACAGGAACAAAGACTGACACCTAGCATCTGAAATTTCATTTTAAGCACCATGGCTAAGTAAGACACGACAAACTGCCATTGCTAATTCATATTGCATTCAAAGAGCTAAGAAAGTCTATACCAATAAATAGGTAAAAATTAATGATTTCATAAACCAACCTTATAGAAGACAGAAAGAGCAAACCTAAGCCACAAGACAACTACCCGTCTACTAAACCAGCCAGTTCTTAAAAAAGTGGACTCAAAGGAGAAAGCAAGGCAATTTCAAGCAATCTCTCCTTAGCCATTAACCACAAATCTGGGACCGTTTAAGGTACAGGCACTGGGCTACCAAGCAGATGGGACAGACTGAATAGCCACGCAAAATGGTTCAAAGGTGTTGGTGCAACCCATAATCTCAACCCTTGAGAAGCAGGGGCAGGGGCAATGCTAGGGTCTGGCGCTGCGCCGCTCTACACCGTAAGTTTCAGGCCAGCCAGGATGAGAATGTGTGACTGTCACAAAACAAGACAAAGATATTTTAAAGGACTAACTTTGAGAGGTAACTAGACCGCAGATTGTAATTACAGGCAAAGAAAAAAACTTAAAATGTCAACAAATACTATCTGGGCAAGGGGGATCTTTCTCTTCCTTTCCTGACTTTCTTCATGGTCTTTACTGAGCAGCTGATAGATTTATCGTGAGACCACAGGACCCGAAGATGGCCACTGTACACCAAGCACCACGCTCTGAGGCAGCAATGGAGCTGCAGCTCTCTCCAGCGAGAAGCCCAACAGTGGGGCTTGCGTCCACTCCTAGCTAGACAGATGGTGTGGTTAGCGCCACAGCACGTGCTGCGGCGGACAGACAGGGACACAGACAGGTCCTCCTACGGGTCACAGCCTGTCTGCTACATTCACACGCCAGAGGCTGTCTGTCATCCGGCTGCTCCATGCTCATTCCCTAGGCTCATGCTGCTAGATACACCCTAGCCCTCTGGCTCAGCCAGATGTAGTTCTCAGTACTATGTCAGCTACAGTGGCTCTCTGTGAGCCATTAGCATCTCCCGAGCTTGCTGCATCAGAATCCTCTGCCACCCCACTTTCTCAAGGCTCCAGAAAGTATACAAGCCCTCTGAAGTCTGAGCACACAGGCACTCAAGAATCCAATGATTTGGTACCTTTATCCAGCTGTTCTTACCCAGAATGCTCTCTGCTCCCGTCCTAGCCTTTTCACTAACCCTGTCCACTGTGTCATCGGAGACTTCACAAACTAGTTATTAAACTCAAGGCTGCAGCTTTCTTCGGTTGCGCTCATGTGCCTGTAAAGCCCTTCATTGCCATTCTGCCCATCACCCCGCCCGGTTCACCCAGTTTAGATCCATTAATTCACCTTTAGATCCACCTTCCACGGTCAGGTTCAGTGTCTCTCCCACCCTAATTCATGAATATTCATGAACCGCTTGCTAAAGATTCTGGGACCCATCTCACCCCACTCACTTTTGTCCCAGTCACACTTTGGATTTTGTGATTCAATGGAAATAGGTCCCATTCCAGATTTTCGCCTGTCTCTACTGGGGAGCAAGCAACGTTAGCCCCCGCCCCCCCCCAGCCACACTGCCTCTAAGAACACTCTGGGGCACAGTTGCCCTTAGGAAGGCAAACCACAGGGGCCTGACCCTGAGCCACACGGTCATGCTTTTACTTAGTCTTTTAATAACTAAGTTTCCAGTCAAAGAGCAATTGCTTCCTTGGCATCTTGGAGGGGCTGATAACCGCCATGACCAGGCTCTAACCCATGTGATTCCTGTGCTTTACGGCCTGGAACACTCCTATGATTCTCAGCACTGCATGTTCTACATGACCAGACTCACTCCACTCTTCCCAATCCAGCTTAAATCTGTGTAGCGAGGCACCCACCCCGCCCGTACCTGTTGCACTGACCGGGCCCATTGGGGCTTGGGGACAGGTGTGGGTGCTCAATGCAACAGGTGCGGGAGGGGTGGCTATCTCACTACAAATGTGAACCCTCACTTTTCCCAAACTGAGCTACCGTCCTAGTGTTCTACCAGGGAAAGCCCCGTTCAGGATAAATGCAGCCATCCACTTTCTTTACTTGGAGACCACAGGGGAACTGATGGCATTATAAACGCACTGACTTGACTGACTTGACCTTCAGGTAGGCTCTGCTCCTGTGCAGCTTCTCAGTGTCTTTCACTCAGTTCTTCTCTTAGCTTGTGCACATGATAGATTTGTTTTTGTTTTAAAGACAGGGTCTAACTATGGCGCTCTGGCTGGCCTCCAATTCTCTAAGCAGAGGAGGCTGGCCTCCAATTTAGAGACCCGTGAGAACTAGTTCTGGGATTAAAGGTGTGGGCTCACCACACCCTGCCGACTGGGTTTAACTCCCCTCTCCTCTCTAACACTTGATCCTTCAATCTCTCCCTTCCTACAAAACCCTTGTGAGTGATAATCTAAGACACCCTTCAAATCCCCATCACAAAGCAGGCTAACGTGTTTATGCCCACACTCTTACATTTGTTGGGGAAGTGGAGGACCCTGTATCATCCACTGTCATGATGGCCCCCAACCCCTGAGGCACGGCTCTGCTCTGGGGGTGAACACTGGTAGGGTTTAAATACAAAAGAGACCATTTTTAACCTTCATCTGAGCAACACATACATTTCCAATGGTGCAACAACTTCACGAGGGCACCAGGAGGGCAAAGGTCAGTGAGCATGTGCTGAGGAAGGTCTCTACCTTCCACCCCTACACTGCTCAGTCTCTCCCAAGCCTAGCTACCAGACAAGGAAAAACAACAAACACATAAGAGGGTTAACGCACGAGACTTTCAGGTTAAAAGAACCAACAGGGACAAACAGGGTTGCTACCTTCTGCTGTGAGCCCAGGCCTATGCAGAGGAAGGGGCTCTGGTCTCCCTCAACAGCCCGTCCTAAGCACCTGTGGCTATTACCTGAGGATGGGCTCCAGGTCAGGGTGCCGCCGCTCTTCCTTTTTTAAAGAACCCTGATTCAGGGCTCTTAAGATGGCCTTGTCAAAGGTCTCAGAAGACAATTCCTTAGGAAGCTACAAGAGAAAAACACAATATCCAATGATGAGTTCTTCACTCCAACATATGAATATATAAATAAAAGAAATGCCTTCTCCTCATTAGCCAGCCTCAAGCATTCTTTCCAGGGACCAGGCTGAAGGGGCACAGGAAGCAGATCTCCTGGGGCTTGCCTAGTGTATGGGAAACCCAAGTGTTCACCACACCTTCAGTGTATGGCATGCGAACCTCACATCCCAGGCAACTCTCCCCTTCCAGCTGCCATCCTTACAGAGCTTCAAGATAAACTGAGCATTCTCACAGTACAGCTAGCACTTATCCTGGAACACTATTCTAAAAAGTGTTGTTACCTCTGCCTCTATAGTTATCACAATGTTGGACAATTAAATGCTATATTCGAAATAAAGAACAAACTTATGAAACCTGGGTCAAATTCTTGCAATTTTGTTTTCACCAAAAACACCCATCAGAGCTGGCGATGGCTCATCAGGTGGGAGTATGTGCTGCTCAAGGCTTGAGTTCAGTTCCCAGAACCTAGGTAAAGTGGACGGGAGAAGCAACTCTTCGAAGCTGTCCTCTGACCTCTGCACGTACCAGACACTGCACGACTCACAATTATAAAAACACAAAACAAAACACACTCCTCGAGTGTTCTTCAACATGATGGTTGTGTCCTATAAACAATGTGCTAGAATCTCTAAGAGAGTATCATTTGGCCAAGAAAAAAATTTTAATGAAACCAAACTCTTATCACATTATTTAACTTAAAATATTCCTAAAAAATAAGTTCCAAAACTAACTAAGTTTTTCAAGAATTCATTTTTGACTTCTGTGATTAACTTCTGAACTAAGAGTAACTGTAAGAGCCACAGGCTTAAAAGTCCACGACTGAGGTTGGGCACAGTGACTAAGGCGTGGCATGGTTGGACCATGTCTGCTCATCAATCTGGGGAAATCACAAAAGCAATGGCATCCACACCCTACTATGGAAGTCATGTCCTCCAACTACCAGCCTGAAGAAACAAATTCTGAATCATCACATTTTCCAAATAAACACTATTAATTTCAAAATGGATACTTTGACATTAAGCATACTAATACAGATTTTTGACCGTAGGTATTTATGACTAATCTTAAACAGTAATTTTTAAAAAAACTTCTTTATTTAATACACCTGTGTACATGTATATGCATAAACATGTATGCATGTAAGTATGTATGCACGTACACATGTATGTATGCATGCAAGTGCATATACCCGTGGAGGAAGCCAGAAGGTGACACCAGGTGTCTTTCACTATCGCTTCCCGCCTCACCTTTTGGGACAGGGTCTCTCTCACTGAACCCAGAGTTCACCGATTAGCTAGACTGGCTGGCCACCTGTCCCTCAACACAACAATACTGGGGCCACAGACATGGTTAACTAAACTCAGCTTTTACGTGGGTGTTCTTGCTTAAGTGACAAACACATGAACAAGTAAGCTATTTCCCCAGTACACTGACTAAGAAGTCAACGCCAATTTCTAAGCCACGGACAGTTGCTCTCACAGCTGAGGGCTCCATGCAGAGTGCCACCAAGTCAGCGGCAATGCTAGCATGACTGCGTTGAGTGTGGACATGCAGCCTTCAGTATGTAAGCTACTTTATCTTCATGTTGTTTTTGTCTTTCTCCCCCAGGGCCCACTCAGTTGGAAGGGAAGTTTATTTGCTAAAAATAAAGCTTTAAAGAACGCCGTTTGTATTCTATGTTGGATTTTTTCTCCTCTTTGCATCTTCGTTGTAACAAACCTAGCAGTCCTGCGTTGGTCTCTGCACAATCTCAGAATAATGAAAGGCTTTGGATCTAGACACAAAATGCCAAAGCCTAGTGTGCAGTTATCTTTAATTTTTCTCGTTAACAAAGTTAGCAAGAATAAATTGTTGATTTACATTAGGGAATCTGCAGCCTGCACCTCAAGGAGACCCCTGAAAGGTTCCCGGAGCACACATGGGATAAGTGTCCTTACTTTTAACCATCTTAATCCTGTGCTGTGTGGCGTTGGAGCTAGCCTGGATGACAACTTTCCTCGACACCATCACTGACGTCACGCCACTAATGGGTTATATTTGTCAGCGCCTTTTGTTAACTGCCAAGTCTTTGTATGGTCAGCCATCCTCTCCTGTGTATCAGCAGCCTGCAAATGTTCAAAGCTTTGCTGGAACTAGCTCATCACGACATGTGATGAACATAACCTTAGTTGATCAGTCTCATCTCCATGTAAATGAAAGCCTGTACCTCTTCCCTTACACTTCATGAAGTAGGGCACCATGAGGCAGGCCCTCATTGAAGTCCTTTATTCTGAAAAGGGGCCAATCAACTTACACTGCTATAAATGCCTAATGTGTCTTTCCTACTGACCCCCTGCTGCCAAGCTTCAATAGCCCCAACAGTGATGTCAAGACAGTGAATTGAGAGCCAGGTTGCCACCTGTCAGCATCTGGAGGAGTGAGTCCCAGCTTGGGCACCAAGCCCCAAAGCACTGTAGGCCCAACCACAGGGTTCCGGCTTGGTTTCTGAGCCACATGGTACGGTTGATCCAATTACGCCTTGCCAATCCTATTCTTCAGTCCAGGGGTTCCTAAAGTAGACTCCAGATGCCCTGGAGAAGTTTCTCTTCCTGAGCAGACATGACTGCTCTCAATCTGGAAACTGCTGTGCACAGCTAGCAGAGTGCTCTGCCCTGGTGTGAAGACACCGAGGCTCTGAAGTATACTCTCTACAAAGGACTGCAGTTTGTCCTTGAGGAAGGTCACATATCCACAGCTGTTCCTGTAGTCATTTATAAAACCTCCCTACAACGTGCAGTGCATCTCACTCACTCAAGGAGTTAGCAAGCATCCAAACTCCTCCTCTGTACTCAAAAACTGTGGATACGACAGTAAAAGGAAATGAAAACTCAGAGCTGCTGTGGAACATGAAAAACGAAACTGGAAGGGTCAGGACCGGAGGCCAGAAGCTGCTGTTCTTCTGAAGTCAGCACTCAGCACCCCTCCTCCCCCCAGGTTTCTGGAAACTGTCACGCAGCTCAGCAGAAACCACGCCCATTCACTGTCACTACAGGTGCTCAGAGAGGAGGGTGGGCTCTGCTCCCCGCTTCTACACACAGCGGTAAAGATGGGAGCAGGAACTTGAAGCATATCTGACAAAAGGTTTCTAGAAACAAAGTGAGCATTATCCCAGGTAAGAGTGGTGCTCACACATTTAAGAGATGCGCTTTAGTCCAATGCGGGCTAAGCAGAGGGATTAATTATCACCACCCTGAAGATGAGTTAGACATTTGGGGTTTTGCTGTTGGGATGTGACAGAAGAATGATCTGTCAAGACACACCGCTGCCGAAGCTTAGGGAGACACAGAAGGAAGGAGACTGCTGTAAGACAGGCCAAGGCCCGGCACAGGGGTCCATGCTGCTCCCTGAACCGCAGGAAGACACACAAATAGGTGGCAACCAAACACACAAGTGGGCGTCAAGCAGCCGGGCTCTGTGTCCCATGGAGCTCACTCCAGCACTGGAATTGTGCCTGCTGAAGAAGAAACCAGAACAAAGCAGAGAACAAAAGCACCCTGTTGTTGCCAAATGCAGCCCGTGACTGCTCATAACTGCTTGTTTAACTTACATTAAACCTGGATGGATGTATCCTAGCAAGACACAAGACAGCCAGTGGCAAGAGAAGAGGTTCACAGATGCATGCAAGGGAAGAGGGCAGGTCCAGCCCCTTGGCTTACTCATCAGAAGCCACCAGAGGCCACTTTCCCTGCTGCGATGCTGCCTGGCTCTCATTCCCCATGCCCTTTTGATTGTCCCTTCCGGCCGAAGAGGCCGGTGCTCAGAATACCCACCCTCCTGTCACTGTCTTCTTTCCCACCAAACTGTAAGACTGATCGGTTATGAGAGGGACACAGGCCCTGATGACCAGAAATGAATGAAGCCCACCTGTCTTTACATACAGGCACAGGTTCTCAGCCCTTAACTGGGAAAACCCAGAAACCTATGTAAAACTAAGTACTACGGGTCAAACAAAACCAAAAACCAAATACCGGTGAAATGACTTCTAAGGGTATTCTGCTGCACTCCTAGATGAGTGCCTTGTATAGTAATCATCAGAGAAACTTCCTCCTGAAGCAGATGGGGAACCATACCCACAGTCAGACACAGCTCCATCTAATCCCTGTCCTCAGAGCTCAGGGAAACCTCACAGAAGACACATGTGTGAAACCCAGCAAAATCCTCAAGTGTCAGGTGCTGTCAGTTCAGTAATGACACCATCATACAAAACTTGGTAACCGAGTTAGGACATTTCCCATTTCTGAATTCTTCAGCTCTATCTCCCTGTTAACAAAAAACTGTAAAATATTTGCTTACTGAGCAATAGTAATTTAGTGATCACATAGACCAGTTCTCCCTTTTACTATTTCTTTCATGTTTCCACTAAATCAAACCAGAAAACTTTATTCAAAGAAACAGGTAAGGCTGTGCACAAAACAAGCCTGCAAGAGAGGATTCCACATCTTCTCATTGTTGTGTATGCGGTGGGAGAAGAATGCACTCCAGGAAGAAAAGGGGCAAGACTTAAGAAAAGCCCATCACAGTGGTAGGTACCATAGGGAATAAGCCAGCGCACTGCCTGGGGGAAGAGCCCTAGTAAGAGACATCTCTAGAGGGAGCTAAGCATGGGGACCATATATGCTGGCAACATCTGTAAGAGATACACAACGTAACATTTCTACAACTCACATTCTTTCAGCCTGGAGTCAACCTATGTGTGTTTTCATTTTCTTGCTGATTCCTTTCTCACTAAAGCTTTAGGAATCGTTATATCATATACAAATCTTAACAACAAAATCTATAATTTTACCTTCAGTAGGAATTCCTGTAGTTCTTGGTGGGTTTTTGTTACTGTTGTGACAGAAAGGTCAGACCAATTTACCTGATTTAAGAAAACACACATATTGTATGGTTATTGCTTAGGCAGGAACTGGCTGGGGAAAAAGCCATGTGTAAAACAAAAGGCCTTACTTAAATTTTAAGATTAGCAATTAGCATTATCATAGTTTCTATAAATGTGTTTAGTTGTACATTGATAATCTACTCAAAAAAGCTTTCCAATCCTTTTAAATTGTACTTTAAAAAAAAAAAAACAGTGTTAAAACATAACTCTATTTTAGTATTTTCAGGAACTAATTTTTCAGAACTATCTTGCTTCTTTGGTTAAGTACAAAGATAATACTATGACAGGGTAGAGCCAAATGATAAAATCCCGTCCCCTGATGTATTCCAAGAGAAAAGGTCACTGCCCCTCTTTGGCAATACCATTTTACAGTTGAGGGACATTTATCTTCTGACTGCAAATGTTACAGCAAATCTGATTACATCTATTTTCAGATGGAGAAAATGAACTAAGTGTGACCCACAGTGAACACAGGATCCAGGACTGGACCCGGCTGTGCTGGCTCCTGGACACTTAAGAATTCTGTGGACCTTAATTACTACTTGAGATGTGTTAATATCTAACTCTTACCTATTATATGTCACAATTAGATAATGCTTACAGAATTCCATCTAGCAGCCCTGTTTGTTGGTTGGTACATTATAGTGAGATATTCACTTTGCACCTGTGGCACTGGCCACACCCATTGGGGGGTGGGGACAGGGGCGGATGTGACCTGGGGAACTAGGTCTAGGGAAGGGGTCCCAGAGCACTCTACCGCAGGACAGGGACAGAGAGCATCTGGAGGCATCCTTGGGACGAGGAACCTGCTGGTGTTCATCTGTCTGTTGTGATTTACTTCTCCCTGAATAAACATCTCTTCAGCCTGTTTTTCCCGATCCTTATTAAACCACATTAGTACATTTCTTAAATGAGTTCAGTCTCACGCTAGAGTAACACAAAACCAAGGGACACCTAAGAGTTTCTATCAGTCACCATTACTTCAGAGATGGGGGACTTGGGCCTGAAACAAGACCAGCCCCGTAGGTATTAAGGCGGCTCTCTAGAGAGGGGGCACTTGAGCCAGATGTTAGCTGCTTTGGTTCAGGGCAAGGAGAAAGGTCTTACAGACAAGCTGTGCACCCAACAACTAAAGGAGAAACCAGCATGCAGAGTTTCAAGGGCAGAGAGCCAGATGTGCCAAAAGTGAGGTGTGGAAACTGGAAACGGAAACCACAAAGTCAAGGATTGTCTTCCTTCAAAGTAGAAGTTAAGATTTTAAAATTCATCCAGCAAATGCACTAGCAAGGCAGACACCGAAGGATGGCAGGGGGTGAAGATGAGTGCTTCTGTGAGCTGATCTACTCAAGGACTGGTGGGAGCTTCAGTGGCAGCAGTCTGCAGAGGAAGGAGAGAACGTTCCACCCGCGGTGAGAAGAGGGGCAGCGGGAAGAAATGGAGTGAGGCTGCAGAGAACCCTGGCTTCAGCCCACGGAGCTTCAGAGTGCATGTGACCCAACCTCTCAAGGCTCCACAGGGAAGCTGCAGCAGAGGGAAGCAGGAGGAAAGGCTTACCCTGGGACTAACAGAATCCGACCGGACCCTGGGATTCACAGCCAACAAGAAGGCAAAGCCACAAAGCAGGGATGAAAAGCCCCACGAGGAATAGGCAAGCAGGGCGGTGATGCCAGGACAGAGAAGGTCGGTGGGCGGCAAATAGTTGTGAAAATATTTGCATTTATTTTTTAAAGATACATCTTGCACCTTTAACAGTCTCCCCAAGTCTAAGGTTCTTGCTTTTAAAAACCATCTCTCTCTGTCTTTCGTCTTTAAAGTAGTAAACCTGCTAGAAGTTAGTTCTTCTAAAGGTCAGTTATTGTGGCAAACGACGTATCTTTTGGAGGTGAGAATAGCTTACTTTGAAAGTGTACTCCCAATATTTGTCAGCCCTTTTTCTCTGCACGCCTTTCAACATTATCTTCTCAATGTGTACAGCTGAAAGAAAAAAAAACACACATGCTGACTGTGTTATGAGATTACACACATATTCAGTTACCTGAAGTAATCCTGTAACTTAACAAATGCCAGTAATTAAGCTACTTACTTAACCTTCACAACTGGCCTTAACTCATGAAACAACCAGATACGCAGCAAAAGCCACTCATCCATGGGTGGGTGTTTCCTACATATGTTAAGATGCTGAATGCCCAAGAGTGTCACACAGTCAACAAGAACAACAAAATATCCAAAGACATTTTACTGAAGATTTTTCTCTAAGGATAATAATGAAAATTCTTACTGAGATTATAACAATACAGCACTTCCAGATCAACAAAATACGTACGGCTTGTTCAGTTATTTATATGTGATAGTAATAAGTCAGAAAATATCTAGTTTTTTGTTTTGTTTTTGTGTGTTTTGTCTGCATGGATGTATGTGTACCACATGCATGCCTGGTCCCCACAGAGGCCAGAGGGAATTTCATATCTGCTGGTGAAATGTAGTATAAACCAAGCTCTATAAGGAGCCCTGATGTTTCACCGAGAAAGAGCCGTATATGCAGTTACTACAGGAATGGAACAGTGCACACAGGTGACAGTGAACATGAGAATAAGCAGTCTATTCCCAAACCCAACAAACATGCAACACCCCCCACCCAAGCCCCTCACTTTCCAGCTCCTTCAGTAATCTAAAATCTACACACAATAGCTCAAGGACTTGAAGACAACAGGTGCTTGGGGCGCAAGCCAGGGAGATAATACTTCCTTGATGTGAGGCTGCAACATCAGAGGCTGGCAATAACGGACTTGAAGATGGTGGGAGAGAAGAGGTCGGGAAAGGATGTAGTGGGTGTGGGGTGGGTGACGATAGGAACCGCCGATGGATGGAGTCAGGGGAATGATGACAAAGAGGATGAGTCACTTTGCTTTAACAAAGTTTTCGTGGCGAAAGCAGCGTGAGACTGGGTCTGCTAAACACCATGGAAGGTGAGCAATGAACAAGCACGAGGCACAGAACACAGTAGTGATGCAGCAGGGAAACACACTCAGAAGCAGGGAGAGGGCAGGAACAGCACTCTGTTCAACTTTCAAAACGTTTGATTTGATGGCCTGCTTGGGGCCAGCCTCTCCTTGGTGCTTCAGAAATACTGAGGGTGAAGGGAGGGGAAAAAAATCCTCAATACCAGATGGTAACTCTCAGACCTGTCTGATGTTAGAATGACCAGACAGGGATAGGGGGACCCGAGTTTCCAATAACTGCTATATTAAATCACTTAAAGGACGAAAAAAATGAAGCCTTACTGAACTAATCTGTGTTAAGAAACAGAGCAGCTTGGGAATATGGAAGGAGCTGCACTGGCAGAATGCCTGTCCAGAATGCACTAAGTCCTGGGTTTGATCCCAGAACAGCACAGGCAAAGGCATGCACATGTGAACAAGGACAGTTTGGGTCATTTAGTATGATGTGTTTCAAAAACCAAGAAACAAGACAAGAATCTCTACAGGCATGCATGGTTCCATTCTTGGCTTTCTCTGTCTCCCATTCATATTCATATTCTCTCTCTCTGTATGTGTTCATATTCTGTGTGTGTGTACACACATATATATGTGTGTGTGTTCATATTTCTCTCTCTCTCTCTGTGTATGTGTTCATATTCTGTGTGTGTGTATATATATATGTGTGTGTGTGTGTGTGTGTGTGTGTGTGTGTGTTCATATTCTTTCTCTCTCTCAGCATCACTTTACTGAACGGAGCTCACTGATTCAGTGTCTGACAGGTCGGTGAGCTGCAGGGACCTTCCGGGTCATGTCTCCCTGCACTAGGACCACAAGCACGTGTGCCGCTGTGCCTGGCTTTCTGCGCAGGTGCTCAGGATCTAATTTCCAGGTCCTCATGCTTGCAAAGCACTTTATCAACGAGCTATCTATCTGCCCAGCCCTTAGTGGTCAATGTTTAACAGAAAAGAAGAAAAAGGCCATGCTGCGGCTCCTTGCTGGAATACAGCTTTAGCTTCATCCTGGATTTCAAGTTATTATACCTGCTGTTACCTGTCTTAACCCTCGTAAACCAAAACCAGAGAAGATGCATTACACATCATATTTTTAAGTTAGAAATGAAGAACCACACACATTACCGCCTTAAAATTAACTCTATCGTTTGAAATAGTCTTTTTTTTTCCCTAATTTTTTTTTTTTTTATGAAAACAAAACATTAAATCAAGTTCTGCATCAGGTTCCTCTGTGTTTAGTGAGCTGGACTGAAGAAGTTCATGGTTAAAGGTCAGCTGGGGAAGTGCTGTGATTGCCTTCCACAGAGGCGGAATGAGACGAATACTTCTTCATAACTAAACAGGCGTAGCGCTACCCAGGAAAAGCACACATCAACAAGATTATGACTAGAGGAGGCACAGTGACACAAAGTCAGGGGTGTGACTGAGGGTGGCTCATCTGCAGCTACACGGCTGCCCACTCTGTTTCTCTCTCTCAGTATGGGCTTACAGGCTCGCAAAATGCAAAGAAAAGTGAGCATGCATGCAAGCCCATTTCTTCTTAGATGATAATCCACTTTCATTCCCGCGCACTGCACTCCTCTGTAGAACTGCAAGGAAAATGGATTTCTAAACAATTCCTTCATTCTCTTATTAGAAACAGTTGACTTTTCTGTCTTTTTTTAATAGACACTGACCACGTCCTATAGATAAAACACTATACTAAGTATTTTAGGAAAGTCTTTGCCCTCCGGAAACACACAGAGGTTTAAGAGCCATCCAAAAAGAAAATTGTCTGTGACACAGGCCAGCACATGTTGAGAGGACAATCCAAGCTGCAGAGCAAGGAGACTCCAGAACACACAAGTTAGAACACTGGCAGTATTGCTTTTGGGCAAAAGCCCAGGACCACTAGGATTTCTCTAAAAAGAAGAGTCAAGAATTAAACAGAATTGGGCTACAATGCAGCTCAGTTGACAAGAGTGCCTACCTGGCATGTGTGGGCCCTGAGTTCTCTCCCAAGCACCAACTAACACAAGCCTGGTGGCACTGGCCTGTAACTCTAGCATGTGGGAGATGGAGGCAGAAGTATCAGAAGTTCAAGGCCAGCTTTAGTTACATAGTTAAGGCTGGGCTATGTGAGACCCTGTCTCAACTACCAACCACCTACCCACCTCCCTCAATAGCAGCAAAGCCAACAACAACAAAACCCTGAATTAACCAGTGTAAACAACGTCCTACATTAAGTTCACAACAAATACAGCATACCTTCTCGCTGAGCTCTGTGAGGGGCCACAGTGAGTCCGTCTTGAGGTATTTGGGCTTGTTCTACTAAGCCAGTCTCATTACTCTGTATATAATCACCACAAGCAGAGTCGTTCTAGAAGAGAAGATGATGTGTTAGCCTATATCACAGAAAATTTCTGAGTCAAGTTCTATAGTATGAATACTGATTGTTCTACTTATCAGTGATTAAACATTAAGGGTAGAGAGACACAAGTGTTAGTCACAAGTAGCAGTATCAACGCTTATTTTTATTTAACAGTAATAATCTTTTCAAGTATTTATACTTTCCCAGCTACTTTAACACACAAAAATCAAATTGCTAATCAGAGTTGCCAGTGGTTTCCACATAAACCAGAATCAAAAGGACATATAAAATGAATGGTACACTTACGTTAATTTCCCAAGGTAAGTGCATTTGTATTTTGTAGTTAATCACTACATAAAGTTTATTTACTGACTGGTTTTAGTGACACTATCAGGATTATTAACACATATTAAATCTTTCTAAGAAACACTGTGTATGAATAGTTTACCATCAAAGTCAAGCAACTCAGAAACTATTGGGAGCTTAACCCTGCTTCTACTTGGCCCATGGCTAGTGAACTATGGGTGTGTGTCCGTAATAAAAAGCTCTCCAAGCTTACAGCTCTGCAGAATTAAAGCCGTGCTATAGGCCTGCCATTTCTCTATCACACCTAGAGCCTCAACTCCTACTCCTATCAAGGTCACTAGTTTCAAGAGCCGAACACAGTAAATAACACACCGACTTTTTTCATCGTGCAGAGAAATTGCACGAATCAAGGCCCTCAAACCTCCCACAGATCTCAGGTAAGGATGTCATCCTGCTGCTATGCTCCAGACTGGTCTGACAATGAGTGTAATTCCAGCTGACAGCGTGTCTTATGTGAATAAACTACCCTAAACACCTTTACATGTGCCTTGTAGAAACACAAGGCACCATGTCATCAGGACAGCACAGATCTCCAGTGCCAACAGCTGAGACATTTGGCCTACAGTCTTTACCAACTTGCAATATTACCAGTGTCTAACCATAAACTCATATTCACCCTAACTCAGACCATACAATCTTTCTTACAGCCAGCATTTGCCAGAGATTTTGCTAATTAAAAACTCAACAGCAGCACAGTGAAGTTGAAATGGCCCAGCGGCAGGGCACCAGCTTAGCATGTGCAAGGTCCGAGGTTCCATCAGAAACAAACAAAAGCAGAAAGAAGTGTTCCAATCTTCGCAACTCAAACAGCTACTACCCAGAAGAGCTTGCCGCTTCAATCACTGCTTTCCCTTTTTATTCCCCACGACTTCATTGTTAGTTGCATGTCTGTGTGGATGGGCATGTGCACATGAGAACAGGGCCTGGGGAGGCCAAAGGTGTGAGTGTCTAGAGCTGGAATTACCACTGGCTCAGGTCCTCTGCAGGCACAGTATGTACTCTCAACCGCCGAACCATCTCCTTGCCCTCACTCCCTTTCTTGTAGTTTTTCTACATTGGTTTAAAAACTATATACTTCCAAATATAAACAAATGAAAAGTATGCAACAATAACATTTCTACAAAGAGATGCAAATCCAAACCACAGTGAGATCCCCTTCTAGCTAACAGGACAGTTACTGTTTAAATAGGAGGGGAGGAGTGGTGAAGGTGTGTTCTAATCAATGCCACCAAACCAGACACTCTAAAAAGAGCAAGGCAGCAAATTTTGTCACCGATATCTTAGAGTAAATTAGCACTGCTTCCACAAGCAGTATACTCAAGCCATGGGAAAGTAGTCTGCTTCACAACTGCATCGTGCATCTGAAAAGTTTAAGAACAAAACTGTCGGCTATGGTGGCAAACACTTGCCACCCTCGCTGCACAGAAAGCTGAAGCAGAAGGAGCTCAGGTTCAAGGCCAGCCTGAGCAACTTAGCAGCAAGACCCCACCTCAGAAGTAAGTGAAGGGGGCTGAGGAGCTTAAGTGCTAGATAGAGGGCTTAAGTCCACCAATCCAAGGAATACCCAAGTCTCACCGATACTGTGAAAATCACATTAGATCTAGAAACTGCTTCTAAAGTTCACAATGAGCTATGGAGAACATAACTGTGGAGTTTGTTAGCACCAAATGTCCTCACTGTCTTCACATGTGACACATGGCATTCAGTGGAGGAAAGGTGCCATAATATCTGAGAAGTACTGTTTGAAGTCACTGTATATATAGGGACGACAGCTACCGCCCCATTAAGTTCTGGTTCCTTCCCTTCCCTCCTTTGGGGAAGAAATAAACCAAGGAAAAGATGAGAATTACTTACTGCCTCTCTGTTGTACCCGGTAGGTAATGGCACATGAGGCAAGAGTAGTCTAATAGCTCCATCAAAGACAGTGCCTGGAGAATTCACCCACTGCATCCTATACAAGCAAATTCCAGAACACACACACACACACACACACACACACACACACACACACACACACACACACACCTCGTACCTTAATTAAGCTGCAACTATAAAATGGACACAAAGCACAACGGGCATAATATGGACTTTTGCTATGACTACGGACTCTTTCTGGTAGCTTATTAACTAGAAATACGGATGATTCAGCAAGGGGGTGGCAGAACCGACCACTTTAAAGCTGGGGTAAATACACCAACTCCTGAAGAGAGTAAGGGGAGGTCATTTGTGGGCCACATATACTCTGCCATCACAGTTCACACCAGACAAGGCGACAACAGCTTCATTATATGAGCATTCTTCTCAACATGATACTTGGGATAATAATGGCAAGCTATGCGGGACTGGAGGGGGACAAGATGGCAAGAACATTGTCACTGTCACTATTACCTTGGGGTACTCTGTGCACTTACTGCTAATTTAAAAATTAAAATTGTTGCTATCATTCCATGAGGTTGGGGGCGGGGGTGACTCAACGTGTTAAACTGAACCATTAAGAAAGCTCCAGCACAATAACGCTGATACTATAGAAGGTAGTGGGAGATAAAGGCAGCAGGTTTTACCCAAGAATTGGCCTTGATGTTTTCCTTTTATGACTAACCCTTCATGCTTCTGCTCCTTGGAGCATAATAGTGCCAGCTATAAAGATGACAGGTGCGCCATGACAACACTCTACACTGAACACAGAATGACACAGGAAACCAACATGTAGTAAAGTCCTCTGCTGCTGTACAAGGAATGAACAAAGTGGACCTTGACAATACAATCCCACAGCAAAGACATTCTGGGGCAAAGTGACAACCTAGACATGCATACATCCCCTCCCTAGCTCAGGTCACACCTATGTTCCAACTTCTTTATGTTTACAACCTTACTTACTCCAGGAGAGAGGAGAAGGCAGAACAAGACGAAGAAATCCTAAGTAGGAAGCAAGTTAAACTCAGAGCGCAACAGCCCAGGCACCACCAAGACTTCTAGGCCCTATAGCAGAGCCACAGCTCTATCTTCAGTCCAGGAGAGTTCTTGGAACATGTAGAAATTTAAGCTGATAGATTTGGGGGGGGCCTTCACTGATATACAGGCAGTTGAGTGTATCCAGTGTTTGGAAATTGTATTAGGATCAGACACTTAAGCACACATGTGAGAACAGCCACTTATTCCCAACCAAGGGAAACAAACCATTTTCCCTAAAGCAATAGCTTTTCTATTCATCATTGCGCTACATGACCTCTTTGCAGAATGGACTTTTTCTCAAGTAGTACTCTAAACACCACAGCCTTTGGTTCACACACAACCATACTCTCCCCTCCAGGAGCATTTAAAACAAATCAATTTTACTGTAGGAAACTATCCCAATTTAGGCTGCCTTAATAATAAAGCATAAAAAAAATCCCACACGACCTCTCACAGAGTGCTCATTTCAGTGACCAAAGTCAGGTTTTCAACTTTCCCAGCACAAGGCTCTCCCTCTAATGCGTATCACAAGCCGAGCCCAAACACTGAAGGAGACTGCACAGTCAAGTATCCGAACATAAGGCTAGTCCATACTTATGAACTCTCCTACTAGTAAAGCATCCCTTCCCATTCATGCATCTGCACCCATTCATGCACCAGCACAAATAAGACCAACAAAAAAGAACCAACACTGTTCAATGTTTCCAGTCTTAAAGCAATTCGTTTAGAGTTATATTTGAAAGCCTAGGACACATCATTTAAAGACCTAGCAAGGAAGGTCAGTTATATAAATTTGAAATAGTAGTAAAATTTCTACAAGTACCCAAACTCCAGGAAAACACGTGTTAGTGGAATTCTGAATTGCAAGACTCGCAGAAGACTGGTAGTCTAAGAACATCACAGGAAAGGCGCCAGCATGAACCCTGCCTTGAATGAAAGGCAAGGTGAGTGAAGAAAGAATGGACAGCTGGGACTTGAGTTAAAGACCTTTGAAGCCCAGGGGCCACCAGTCACGGAAAGAAAGTGTAGTATGACTAAAGACTGATTTAGAAAGATGTTTCTGGTGGCAGTACCCAAAAGTGTACAGACAAGCTAAAACCATGGGAACTAGTGTGGGGATTATAGTAAATATCTTGCACCAAGATCCAAAAGAACATGGCATCAGTCCTTCATGACCAAAGGACAGAGTAGGATGAAGAGGAAAGACAATTAAGGGTTAGGGCAATCAAACTGCATGGTAACTGAAGTACAACTACACCACTGAATGAATGAGTCTGGATGTTTTTTATTCAAGTGTCTTGTTTTTACACATATTAAGTTAGAAGTGGCAGTGACCTTCCAGGAGATCCAGCACAGACTCACACAATTGTTTTCATTGGTACCCAAGCAAACCCAGCCCTTTAATCTCACCTTCAAAGACTTCTGTCACCCAACAGTTACTGTGTCTCCAGATCTCTGTTCATCCACCACAATCTCTTCTTGTGTTAGCCATTCTTTGACTAACCCAATATCTCATGCATTTCCTCATGCCACACCCATCTTCAGGACAGTTATAGGAAACAAGAGGAGGAAACATTGCAATCATATACTGGGCACTAGAGGGTGACCCTTTCAAACGGGGGCTGAAGAGATCTCTCAGTGGTTAAGAGCACCTGGTGCTCTGGCAAAGGACCGGGGTTTGGTTCTCAGAA